CACAGAGATATGCACACGTCACTTATGCTCATATACTAGCGCGTCGAACATTGAATATCCATACCGCCGCCCGCTGGGGTCTCAGGAGGTCGGCTCCCCAAGCGGTGGATATGGAGAATCCTCGCCTCAGACCGATGTGCCGCGGAAGCGGCCTGCGTAGGGCACCGCGTGGGGGTGGCCTCTTCGCGCGTGAGACCCCTCTCTTCCCGTCGCTGGTGGCCTTTGGCTCACTTTACCACCGTGCCTGGTTCGTGGGTAAAAGGTTGCTCTTGGGGCCTCACTCGGGGACTCCTGGAGGTTTCTTCGTGGCTCCTCGGGGCCTTCATTGGTGTCCCTTGGGGCCCTGCTGGCTGTGTCGGGTACGGCCTCGGGATGGGCAGGTGCTGAATGTCGAAGTTCACGTTGCCCTTCTTGGGCTGCTCTTCCGTAGGATCCTCCTGGGAGCCGCCCAGACCCCTCGGCAAGGCCTCGGGGGTTCTGTTTGGGGCCTCGGAGGCTCGCTTGGGCGGGTGCTCGAGAAGACCACGTCGCCGAGCGTTCGACAACCGTGCAGCGCACTGTGCCGTTCTAAGGTTCAGGTTTTTGTTGGCCTGTCCCATGGCCTCGAAGACGGCCAGAGGGGCCCCAGGGCCCCTCCGGCCGGAGGGGCCCCCAGGGCCCCAGGGGAGTGCCCGGACGGCCCCTCGGTGCTGCCGAGAGGTCCTGGGCCTCCTCGAGCGTTGCCGTGCTGAGGGCACGGGCGCGGAGAGCCCAGGCCAGCCCAACTCCACCTGACGAGCGCGAAGCCTTCGGCGTTCAGTTTGACCACGAGGCGTTTCGGGTCAATTCGGTCTTGTCCAGACAAGCTCAAAACCATCGCAAAGCTTGCTCGCATGTGCGAGGGATGAGGACATGTGCCCTGGGAGGGGGAGGAGGAGGAGGAGGAGGAGGAGGAGGAATACCAGCGAACACCCAACATGCATCGACGATGTTTCATGATCCCTCCCTCCAAGCTCCGTCTTCATCGGTCACTAAAAGAACTGATCATCATTCTGAGACCTGGGAGAATCTTCAGTCGTTCCAAACTATTGCTGCCGTGACTGCAACGCTGCGGATCGATATGTGATGGTTGCGTCGTGGCAATCTCAAATCGTGCCAGGACGCGATTCTTGGGACTGCGACACCCCAAGTCAACTTGCATGTTGCATCCTGGCAGGCCTGACTAGAACCAGACCGCCATTTCTGGGACTTCGACCGTTCGAATCATGGAAACGGATGTTAACTTACAAGACGAGTGTGCGCGGCGCTCAGGCGAGAACGGCGTTTGAAACAGAACCGCCCTCCATGTTTGAAAAAGTTCCCCGAAATTTCAAGAGGAAGGCGCGCGGCGCCAAGGCGAGAGCCACATTCTGAAAAGGAGCCGCCAGCGCACGCATGTGCGCGACCCTGCGGTGAGAGCCACGTATGGAAAGTCACCCGCCCTCCATCCGCGCAACTGCTGCAGCCTTTCAAGACGCAGGAGCCGTGCGCTGAGGCGAGAGCCACATGTTGAAAACGACCTGCCCTCCATCCATGGAGCTGCTGCAAACTGCTAACACGAATGTGCGCGGCGCCAGGGCGACAGCGTATTTAGTTTTGAAAGCGACAAGCTGTCAGCGGGCCTGTAGCATCTGTCAATCTCCAGGAATTCAAATTGCGAGGAAGTCTTAGGCAAAATGCCGGGCCCACCCTACTGACACGTCTGGGGGTGCGACAGGGAGTAGTTGTTTTAAGGAAAATGGGTGGCGCATGGGGAGGAGGACGAAGGTAAGGGATAGGACGATGATGATGATGAGGATGATGATGGTGATGCTGATGATGATAATGTCGCTGATGATGTGATGTTGCTGGTTCTGACTTGGTGATGATGTGATGCTGATGCTGCTCATGATGCTGCTGATGATGGTGACGGTGATGCTCATGATGATAGTGGTGGCGGTTATGATGATGATTATGATGATAATTATTATGAGGATGATGTTGATGAGGGTGCTGGTGCTGATGATGATGGTGCAGACGGTGATGATGACGATGATGATGTGTCAATGAGTATGATGATGCGGGTGATGCTCATGATGATGAGTATGATGTCGATGATGACGATTCTGAAGAGGATGACGATGACGATGAGTATGCTGATGTGATGGTGATAATGAGTATGCGTATGATGATGTTGATGATGTTGATGATGCTGATTTTGTGATGATGAGGAGGATGATGCTGAACATGCTGATGACGACGAGGAGGAGGAGGTGGAGTTGGGGGAGGATGGCTTCGAGGGAGGAGCGAGGAGGAACTCGATGAGGGGAGGGACGGCTGAGGGGCAGCATGGGGGAGCAAGAGCAGCGCCGGAGCGTGGTGAGCATGCCTTCCGGGCGCCCCCGGCAGGCAGGCGCGTGCGCCGATCCTGGGCATAGATTCGGCTTGGCCAGAAGAGTGGCAGAGAGTCAAGACGCTGGAAGAATTACCCATCGGTCCTTCTCCTCCTCCTCCTCGTCCTCCTCCTCCTCCTCCTCTTCCTCCTCCTCCTCCATCGATCGCTGAAAGTAGGTATGTTTGGAGTCCCAGATTCCAATCTACTTTACGCGCCTTCCTACGCCAGTGATCGAGTGACTTCATCTGTTCCGTCCTCTATAGGGGGCAGGTGGGCACTCATTCTACGTTCAACGCCTTCCTACTTCATGCTTTGGTTCGGTGGCAAGTCCTGGGAGCCTGTCTGCAGAGGGCCTGGCGAGGGCCTGCCGACAGAGACCGAGAACGGCGACACACTGTCTTACCTTGTTCCAGACGCTGGGGCTCTGGGAGGACACGTTGGTGCTGGCACACGTCCTGAGGATCGTCGACGGGGGCCCTTCTCCGGTAGCAGATCGCGTGAGGCTTCTATACCCTCGCAAGTCCGTCTTTGGAGTGCGCTGGCACCGATTGGCGCCTGGTGTAATCGATGGGGTGGCGCCGAGTCAGCGTCGATGAGCGCCGATGTGGCGCTGACTCGCGTCGATTGGCGCCGTTCCGCTTCGACCCGCGAGAGCCAACAAGGATGGTACAGTCAACGCGCCTAGTAAGGACGCGCGCCTTCATCTAGGATACCCTTGCGTCCTTGCCTCTGTGGCCCGTCCTTTGCCGTTTCCACTGGTCGCCGCCGCCCAAAAAATCCCAACTTCAGCCTCCAAGGGTCTTGCGTCCTTACCACGCGTCCTTAATTTACGTTTTGACTGCATGGGAGGTTCCCGTGAGGCGTCACCGAACTTCGGGGTCACAGCCGCGGCTCTGGTTGCGCGGCCTGTCCGTCTACCGCCGCCAGGGGACCTCACCGTGGCCGCGGCTCGCCGCGTGCAGGAACGCTCCGTTGTGCCCTAGTCAGCGCCCCTTCGTATGGTCGTACGATGACCGTAGCTGGACAGTTGGCGTCCGCCCGGCATTCCCGTCCTCCCTCCCCCCGCCCGCCCCCCCTCCTCCCCCTCGCCACTCCTCGCCTTCTCCCCCCGCCCCCACGTACGTCCTTTCCGCGCAGGACCTCGCAGGCAGTGGGGGGGGAGAAGGAGGAGAAGGAGAAGAGGAGGAGTTGGAGGAGGAGGTGGTTGTGGTGGAGGTGGCGGTGGAGGAGCTACTGCAGCAGCAGCAGGAGCAGGAGCAGAAGGGTAAGAAGGAGGAGGAGGAGGAGGAGGAGGAGGAGGAGGGCGACGATGAGGAGAAGGGGGGGGAGGCAGGAGTGAGGGGGGGGCGGTGGGATGGAGGAAGGGAGGACGACGAGGACGAGGAGGACGAGGAGGATGAGCAGCAGCAGCAGCAGCAGCAGCAGCAGCAGCAGCAGCAGCAGCAGCCAGCCAGCAGCGCCCGAGCGGGGGCCGCCGTGGCCAGAGGCTCCGCGCGGCGCCACCGCGGCGACGGCGCCGACCGCCTCCGCCGGCTCCGGGGCCGCGGCGCCGACGGCGCGGGCTGGGGGTGGGCTCCTCCTCCTCCTCCTCCTCCTCCTCCTCCTCCTCCTCCTCCTCCTCCTCCTCCTCCCCGCGGCGGACGACGCACCGGGGGAGGAGAGCAGAGGAGGTCGACCACAGTCTCTGGGCTTTCAGTCGGGCGTGTCCTTCTACAGGAGGAATCTTCAGACATGTGCAGAACAAATCGTGTGGGGAGGATTTGTTTCATGATTGTTTACAAGTCTGTGGTATTTTTTGGCTGGCTTTTCCTCTTCCTCCTCATCTCTTCTTCAGTGTCTTTGTACTTGTGGGTCTGGCCAGGGATCAAAGCAGCCGATGCGTGTGTGAGCCACTCTTGGCAACCACGCTGCCCACTCCCTCCTCGTTTTCCTGCTCATGCAATTTTTTGGATTGGTTTTTTCCCCTCACAATGATTTGGGCAGAAATATAGTATCAGACGAGGCTACGACGAGGCTAAGCTACGACGAAATAGAGTATCAGACGAGAGCGTTCCGGAACTTTCTGAGAAGGCCGCGGCGCCCGAGACATCTCCAGAGCCGCCGGATCTCAGAGACTCTCGAGTCATCCTCGTCCGAATGTATCCTCGTCCTGGCTTCGTCGTAGCTCTCCTTTTTTCTCCCACATCTGGTGCATGGGAAGATATAGCAGCACGCCAAGCTTTTGATGGGGCTGCCTTGCGTGATTCTGACCTGGGCCTTCCGCCTGTGGGGGTGCTCTCCGTCCCGGCTGCAGTGGAGGCCCATGCCAAGAAGCACCCTGCTTGCCTCCAGGGTGCCCTGGGCTCCCTGGGTCTCGATGCTTTTCTGCCACGGAGGGCGGGACGCTCCCGCACCAAAAATCGCTGGACGTCCTGGGGTCTCAGGGTTGGGTTGCTTGTGGAAGATTTCTCGTGGGCTGGCCTCCACCAGGAGCAGGAGGAGGAGGAGGAGGAGGAGGAGGAGGAGGAGATGGATGTCCTGGGGTCTCAGGATTCGGTTGCTTGTGGAAGGTTTTTTGTGGGCCGGCCTCCACGAGGAGAAGGAGGAGGAGGAGGAGGTCCCGGGGTCTCAGGGATGGGTTGCTTGTGGAAGGTTTCTTGTGGGCTGGCCTCCACAAGGAGGAGGAGGAGGAGGAGGAGAAGGAGGAGGAGGAGGAGGAGAAGGGTGAAGGGCCCCAGGGACACAAATAAATACACACAAATCCCATGACTCCCCATACGCTTCCATATTTTGTTGGATTTTCGTCTTCCCCCTCCCATGTTTTCGCATTTGTTCCTGGGAGCCGACGACTAGTTACTCGTGTGTGTGTGTGTGTGTGTGTGTGTGTGTGTGTGTTTTTCTCCGTCCCGAAAGACCACGAGCCACTTCGCCGAGGGCCCCTTCTGGCCTCGAGGAGAGCTGCAGCGGAGGCCGGCCCACGAGAAACCTTCCACACGCAACCCAACCCTGAGACCCCGGGACCTCCACCTCCTCCTCTTCCTGCGCCTGCTCCCCCTCCTCCTCCTGCTCCTCCTCCTCCTCCTGCTCCTCCTCTGCTCCTTCTCCTCCTCCTCCTCCTCCTCTTCCTCCTCCTCCTCCTCCTCCTCCTCCTCTCCCTTTGCCGTCGCCTCTTGTTGTGCCCCTCCAGCTTGCCCGAGAGCGCGTGCGGACTGCCCTCGGCCGCGCTGTGGCGTAGCACTCGTGCCGCCGCTCCTTCTCTGCGGCTCGGCGCTCCCAGCGCCTGCTCGCTTCATGTCGATTCAGCCACCGAGGTGTTCAAGCACATCTGAACACCACCGATTTTTCAGTCAAGCTTGTCGACCATTCTGAATTTTGGTGAGCGCGCGCTTATTCATCATCATATTCCTCATCAACCCCATCGTCATCATCGGCAGCGTCGTCGTCCTGATTCTTTTTGAATTTGGCAGCTGCCGCTGGTCTTTAATGCCGACTGCGATTTCTGGCTGCTTTGTTCCAGTATAAACCTCCGAGCGTCCGTTGCAGCTGTGTTTTGCGCGCTGCAGCCTGAGTCCTGATAATCATCACCATCGTCGTCGTCATCATCATCACCGTTGTCATCATCGTCATCGTCGATGTCGTCGCACTCGTCGAATTTCTGCGAGCGCGCACATCCTCATCACCCCCACCAGGACCCTCGTCGTCATCATTATCACCACCGTCATCATTGCCACCGCCATTATCATCACCACCAGCTTCGTCCCCATATATCCCCATCGTCGTCGTGTTTGACGTCGTCCCCGGCGTAGTCCATCGTCATGGTCGTTTTCGCCGCCCAATAAAGTGTTGCGAACAAGGTGCGTGTGGATGGGTGGGATGTTTGCACGGGCGTTGGAGGCGGCGACGTCAATATTGACAAGTGAAGCGCACACCATCTATTGCACCACAGTCGCTTGTAGTCCATGTGTTGCACCACAAGGGCTGCACCACATATCCTGCACCACACATAGATCCTCCTTTCCAGCGAAGGATAGACTCGACCACCCGCCTGAGACCAGGGTCAGTCCCTCCCCTGGGGTAGAACATTTCGACCCCCCCCCGCCACCTTTGTGGCATAAGCTCATGCGTGCAGACTTGTTTATCTTAGGCGAGATTATTATGCCCTAGCCCGTTGTAAACATGCGCCGGAGTCCACACGCGCGCGCATTTCGACATCATACCACACACACGCATATCAGTTTTGCAAGCGCTTGGGCATTTGCACCCCTTTTCCTCCTCCTCCTCCTCCTCCTCCTCCTCCCCCTCTCCTCCCCCTCCTCCTCCTCCTCCTCCTCCTCTCCTTTTCCTCCTCTCCTCCTCTCCCTCCTCCTCCTCCTCCCCTCCCCTCCTCCTCTTCCTCTCCCTCTCCTCCTCCCCCTTTTCTCCTCCTCCTCCTCCTCCTCCTCCTCCTCCTCCTCCTCCTCTCCCTTGTCTTCCTCCTCCTCCTCCTCAACTACACACGGGACAAGCACTCGCTCTTCACATACAGGTCTGCCATGTTCTTGGATTTTTACTCGCGCGCACGTCGTCATCACCCGTACAACCGGCGTCATCGCATCACCGCCATTCTCGTCATCGTGCATGGCCGGCATCGCCGCCATCATCATCACACTCGCATGCATCACCGACGTGTGGACGTCAGCATCGCCCTTGTCGTCACAAGCGTCGGCGCCGACATCGGCATTGCCGTCGTCGTCATCATTACTATCACCGTCGCTATTATCGTCATCATCATCGTCGCCGCCGTTGTCGACGTCACCATTCGCGCCCGCCCGAGACACCGACTCGCACTGAAGTGCCCCGGCAACCAGTTCGGACTAGGAGAAGCGTTGGGAAGCTATTGTCGGTAAGCTACATTGCCGCCGCATTCGTTGTGCAAACACCGACCAGTCGATCCGCGCGCGAGCGTGCGCGCGCCGATGCGGCCGTAGAGTCGCGCTAGCTGGCTCCAATCAGGGGCCGCAATCGCTGCCAAACGCGTGGCGGGTGGGTGGCTGGGATGCTTGCGCGAGCAGCCATGAGCGAAACATCCAGAGTGCGCGAGCTCACTGTTTGGGGGCCGCGCGGAGGAGGAGGAGGAGGAGGAGGAGGAGGAGGAGGAGGAGGAGGAGGAGGAGGAGGAGGAGGAGGAGGAGGAGGAGGAGGAGGAGGAGGAGGAGGAGGAGGAGGAGGAGGAGGAGGAGGAGGAGGAGGAAAAGGAGGATTGATGATGAGATGAGGAGGAGGAGGAGAGGAACGGAGGAGGAGGAGGAGAGGAAAGGAGGAGGAGGAGGAGGAGCAGGATGAGGAGGGAGGAGGAGGAGAGGAGGAGGAGGGAGGGGATGAGGAGGGAGGGGGAGGAGGAGGGGAGAGGAGGGAGGAGGAGGGAGGAGGAGGGGAGGAGCAGGAGGAGGAGGAGGAGGAGGAGGAGGAGGAGGGACTGTCGTACTGTCCTTCGTTTAGGGCTCCTCTTGCCGTCGTGCTTCCTTGTCCCGGCGATGGTGACGGCGATGGCCGGGGTGGCGGAGGCCCCCAACAGCACCAGCAATTTCCAAATGGAGAGGCGCCGGCGGCGGCGACGACGACGGCTTCGGCGGCGACAAGCGCGACGTCCTCTCCTCCTCCTCCTCCCCTCCTCCTCCTCCTCCTCCTCCTCCCCCGTTCCTCCTCCTCCTCCTCTCCTCCTCCTCCTCGTCCTCCTCTCCCTCCTCCTCCGCCTCCTCCCCTTCCCCCTCCTCCTCCTCCTCCTCCTCCTCCTCCTCCTCCTCCTCCTCCTCCTCCGACCATGGCGACGGTGGTGACGGCGGCGACCGCGCATGCGGCCGCGCCCAGGGCAGCGACGCGGCGGCGGCGGCGCAGCCTGACTCCGACGAGCAGGCCGAGGCGTACGACGACCCTGGCCAGCAGGCGCGCCCGCTGAGGGCCTCGTCGCTGCCGGCGCCCTTCGTCAACGACGGCGGCGCCGTCGCCGTCGCCGTCGCCGTCGGTCGTGGCATCGGCGTCGTCGTTGTCAGTCGCGTCGTCGTCGTCGTCGGTCGTGTGGTCGCTGTCGGTCGTTCTCGTCGTCGTCGTCGTCGTCATCGTCGTCGGTGTCATCGTTGCCGCCGCCGACGTCGTCGTCGGCTTCGCCGCCGCCGTCGTTGCAGTCGCCGCTGCCGCCGTTGCGGTCAAGCCTCGTTCCTGCTTGAGGCTGTCGGAGGCCGTCGGCGGTGGTCGGATGTCTCTCTGTCGTGCTGGGGCCTCCGGGGGCCTCCGCTGCCGCCGCAACGCTGCCCTCTGCGCGTCCACCCCTCTCGTGCCCACCGCGGTTGCTGTCGTCGTCGCTGCCGTCGTCGCCACCCTCGCCGTGGCCTCAGATCTGTGCTTCGTGAAGCAAGAGCACGCCTGTCCGAAGATAAGGCCCACGCTGCAGCGGGAGCACCACTCTTGGAAGGACCGGAAACGACCATTCTGCAACAACTATGGGAACATAACAACCTTTCAAGCCTGATGCGTGAGAGACAGCAGTACGTGGAGGAGGGCGGGCGACCCCCCAGCCACCTCCAAGGGAGAGAGGAGAGTGGCTAGTGCTCACGTTAATAACTGTGGTGGGAGAGAATGGGGGGGGAGAGATGAGGCGGGAAGAGGATGCGCCTCTCTGTGCTTAGAAAAGAACAGATACGCACAGAGCGTCGCAGAGTATTACACAGCAGAGACCGAGTGATACCGTCCTACCATACGCGACATACGTGCCGAGCCCACGCTGGCCACAGAAACAAGCAGTAGCAGGAACAACCGATCAGACGACGTATCAAACGTGTCAGGTGTCACGACGTCACGACGGCTCGTCCAGAACATCACATGCCGTAACATAGCGTCATACACCACATCGGGGCAGAATCGGAGCGAGCGGGATACGACACAGTTCAAAGCAGCCACCAATCGCGTCTCTACAAACGAACGTCATAACATAATGGACCGTACCATGGTATAATCAGACGCGACGTGCGCGCTGAGGTCAGGTTGGCCACAGGAGCAAACAGGCGAAACAACGATGACTTGGACGACGTATCTAACGTGACAGGCGTCACGACGTCACGCCGTCCTCGAGGACAACATAATATTGCACAGTATCACCTATCAGAACATGACGGGACATGTCGCAGCCCGCATTTGCGGACAAGAGTGAGGGGGCGGGCGCGGTGTGGATCGCGGGTGGGTCGCGGGCGGGTCGCGGGTGGGTCGCGGGTGGATCGGGTGGCTCGCGGGTGGCTCGTGGGTGGGTCGCGGGTGGGCCGCGGGTGGGTCGCGGGTGGGTTGCGGGGCGGGTCGCGAGAGAAACGACGGCATCAATGCAACGCAACGCAACGCAACAACAATCCGCACCGCGGAATCCTTTGTTCAGCCACGCAGCCACGGACAGTGAATGACCGTTCGGCCCCTTCACTCTGATAACATGTTTGAATACGTTTTAAATGCAGCAGGAGATGAATGGCGCCCTGTTGAACGCAGCATTCACGCCGACGCGAGGCTGATCACAGGACATAAGCTGGCGCAGCAACGACCGATTAGACGTCACGTCGCCCCGCCGGCAGCAAAGCACAACAAACCATATGTGCATAGGTCAGGGCAGAACCGAACACGGCGTGGTACAGTTGAATACAGTAACGACCCAATAGTGGCGTCTCACCAGTCGCTTGGTGCGCGCTGAGATCAGGCGCTCCAAAATAACACTGTACTAGACTCCGAAGGTGTCGGTGGGGATCGTTCGAAGGGAGCTGTGTTTCTTGTCACGGGGGCGGCAAGGGAACATGGAGGCGGATGGAGGGTGAGGAGGAGGGAGGCGGATGAGGAGACGGCGGGAGCAGGAGGAGGAGGAGAAGGAGGAGGAGAAGGAGGAGGAGGAGGAGGAGGAGAAGGAGCAGGAGGAGGGAGGAGGAGGAGAAGCAGGAGGAGGAGGAGGAGGAGGAGGACGAGGAGGAGGAGGAGGATGAGGAGGAGGAGCAGGAGGGGGAGGAGGAGGAGGGAGGAGGATGGCCGACGACGGCGGCGAGCCGCGGTTCCGCAGGTCGAGCCCGCGGGGCCCTGCTTCGTCACCGCCCTGGCCGACGCGGGGGCCTCGGCACGCGCGGCGCGCCGCCTCCGCGGCCCCCGCTGGTCGTCGACGCCGCCGTCGTCGCCGCCTGCTGTTAAGCCAAGGGCGCCCTCGAGGGCGCGGAGCGCGGTTCGGCTCCGGTTTCTCCTCCTCCTCCTCTTCCCCCCTTGGGAGGCGGCGCGAGGGCGCGAAGTTCTTCGCACTTCGCGCTTCGCGCACGCGCGAGGTTGAGACGCTTGCCGTTGTCAAAGTCGTTCGTCCCCGCCGCCGTCGTCGGCTCGCGCGTCGTCTTTGTTCGTCACCGCCGTAGTCGGCATTGTTCGTTGTCTTCGGCGTTGCCGTCGGCCCACGCTGTTCATTCGATCGTCGTCCTCGTCGTCGTCGTCGTCGTCGTCGTCGTCCTAATCCTCACCCTTCTCCACCTCAGCTCGTTTTACCCCTTGGTCTTCCCGTTGGTATCGTGTTTCTACACCTCATCGTCGCTTTCGTCGCTGCCCGACACCTCGTCTTCTCAACCACACACCTCATCGTCGCTTTCGTCGCTGCCCGACACCTCGTCTTCTACCTCAGCTCGTCAGCTCGTCAGTCGTCATTCGTCATCGTCGCTTTCGTCGCTGCCCGACACCTCGTCTTCTCAACCACACACCTCATCGTCGCTTTCGTCGCTGCCCGACACCTCGTCTTCTCAACCACACACCTCATCGTCGCTTTCGTCGCTGCCCGACACCTCGTCTTCTCAACCACACACCTCATCGTCGCTTTCGTCGCTGCCCGACACCTCGTCTTTTCAACCACACACCTCATCGTCGCTTTCGTCGCTGCCCGACACCTCGTCTTCTCAACCACATACGTCATCGTCGTCATCGTCGCCGACGTCGCTGCCCGACACCTCATCTTCCAACTCCGAGAGTGCAGAGACTGCCCACGGCCCGAGGGGGCGGCGGAGGAGGAGGGGGAGGAGGAGGAGGGGGAGAAGGAGGAGTAGGAGGAGCAGGAGGAGGAGGAGGAGGAGGAGGAGGAGGAGGAGGAGGATGCGTGAGGAGAGGCTGGGGGACAGGGTCAGGGGAGGGGACCCTCCAACACCCTCCACAACGTGCCTCCGCGTTCCCGCTCCGCTTCCCAGCCTCTCCTCCTGTTGCAGGGGAGGGGATGGGCAGGATAGGTAGGAGGAGGCGGAGGAGGAGGAGGGGGCGGAGGAGGAGGAGAAGGAGGAGGAGGAGGAGGAGGAGGAGGAGGGTGAGAAAGAGGAGGAGGAGGAGGCCGCCCCTGGAAGTCATCCGGACTTCCTCCGCACTTCCTCGGAGGTCCCCCGTCCCGGAGGGCGGGAGAGCTTCCGGAGGCCCAAGAGGGGGGCCAGAGCGTCCAGAGTCGTCAGGCCTCGATCCTCGCGGAGGCGGAGGAGGGCGAGGAGGGGGAATCAGGCGACCGCAAGCATGGATTAAGGGGGCGTGGATTAGCGACGGGTCCCGTTTCCACGGGGAATCGCGGATTCCCGCCGCCGAAGGAGGCGGCACTTGCCGCGTTTTGGGGAGGACCCCTCCCCCCATCCATGGATTTAGCGACCGCGCGCCTAATCCATGGATCGCCAATCTATGTTTGCGCGCCCCCGAGGGAAGGGCCTCCGACGTGATGCTTTCAATGGCCCAGTGGCTGGCCTCTCTTGTGCAGTTTCTCTCTGCCTGCCCGAGGCTTGGAGCGGGTCTCCACATCACCAGGACCTCGTGGGGCCAGCGAAGACGACGAGGACGACAACGTCGACGACGAACAGGAGGACGACGACGACGTCCGCGACGACGACGACCACCACAACGACGGCGACGACCACAACGACGACAACAATGACGACGACGACGCCGACGACCGACGACCGACGACCGACGACCGACGACCACGACGACCACGACGACGACGACGACGACGACGACGACGACGACGACGACGACGCGCTGCGGAGCTGCACCCGTCCTCGCGCGCACTGAGGTCCTCGCGCACCTGTCCTCGCTGCCTGGGCGGACGCAGAGGACCACCAGATTCCACTCGGTGCCAGCCGCCGCCTGGGCAAGGGAGGTCGGGTCGCCACGGGGGAAGCGGCGGGTCCTGAGGGAAACGGGTCCTGAGGCTTTGCGCCGTTTCCCGCTCTCGGGCCCTGGGACTGTCAGAAAGCGGCTCGTCATGAGGAAAGATCCTGGAGGCCTCGCGCAGCGCGCAATAGTTGTTTTGTCTAGTCCACACGTGAGCTCCGTAGGCTATGGGTCGACGGTCGCGCGGCGATGCTCTGACGCCAGTCCGACGTAACTCCGACGTAATTCCGACGTAATCCGACGTGAACCCGACGTAAATCCGACGTGGATCCGCCGTACATCGGGTCTCAAGTTGCCGCGCGAGGCCTCAAGGATTTTCTTCATAAGGCTCAGGATGAAGATCCTGTCCTGGGGGAAGGCCCTGGGGTCCAGGACCCTTTCCCTCGGGACCCGCTTCACCCAAGCTAAGTCGTCGTCGTCGTCGTCGGCGGCGGCGGCGGCGGCGTCGGCGTCGGCGTCGCCGTCGTCGTCGTCGGCGTCGTCGTCGTCGGCGTCGGCGGCGGCGGCGTCGTTGTCTGCGTCGGCGTCGTCGTCGGCGTCGTCCTCGTCGTCGTCGACCTCGTCGTCGTCGTCCCGGCCGGCTCGGCCGCGCCTGGGCCCAGGATCGGCGCGTGCGCACCCCCGGCTCGGCCGGGGGAGGCCTCCGCATCGACCCGCGGGTACCCAGGGGTCGGTCCGGTGTCGGCGCCGCCGACGACGCCGACGCCGACGCCGACGCCTCGAGTCGAGTCGGGGGCGGCCAAGAGGGGGGTGATGACTACCCTGACCTTCCAGGAGGGCTAAAAAATAGCACCCGACCTCTAAACCTATCCCAGAGCTATTCTACGTCTTGGTTTTAGGCTGTTTCGTTTAGATTTGTAGGTTTTTAGGACTCCAGTGCTAAAAAATAGCTCTCTGGAAGGTCAGGGTAGGGGGGGGTGGATATCATGGCGGGGGCCATGATATTTCCCCAGATCTCATGGCGCCTCCTCTTGTTTCATGGCGCCCCCGGCCCCCCCGCTGGGCCGCGCACGTGCCGCCGGTCATGATCTGCACCCCCCCTCTTGGACACCCATTTCTTGGCCGCTCCCGCTCGAGGAGCAGGGAGAGCTCTGCCGTCGCGGCGCGGCAGGGGCGAGGTGCGCTCGCGCGTCGAGCAGCCCGGGCCGCGGCCCCGCGGGCTGCCCCGCGTGCCACGGGGGAGGGGGCGGCCGCAGAGGGGAGGAGGGGGAGGGCAGCGCGCCGCACGCGGCGCCGCGCGGCGCCGCGGGGAGCGCGCGGGCCGGGGCGGCCATGGCGGGTGCGGGAGGGGGCCGGGTCTCATCGAGGAGGGGGGGCGGGAGCATGCTGCGCTTAGGTCGGGCCTGTGCCGCTACAGGAGGAACATCCAGAGAAAGTCGGGGGACCATTTTTTGAGCTTTTTTAGGTCTGTTTGCGCATTTGTAGGGTATGCGGAGTTTTTCGTCTAAGACCTCCCTGAAGGGGGACATGCCCGACCCCATGTTACGCATGGAATGAGGTCAATGATGAGAGGAAGGACGAGGCTATGATTCAGGCGATCGCAAGCATGGATCAAGGGGGCGTGGATTAGCGACGGGCCTTATTTCTATGGGAAATCAGGGATTTCTGCCCCCGAGCGAGGCGGCACTGGCCGCATTTTGGGGAGGGCACCTCCCCCGACCCATGGCTTTGGCGACCGCGCGCCAAACCCATGGATCGCTCATCCATGTCTGCGCGCCCCCGAATGGTGCCTCTTTTGAGTTCCGGCCGGCCGTGGTGCCCACTCGTGCCCACCTCGGGGGTTGCTAGAGGTGCCCCCTGGCCCAAGGTGCCCCCAGCGTTTCGCTCCATTTTGGAGCCCCTGGGGTCCTCTGGGCCTCGTGAGGGGCGCTCTGCAGGTCGTGGGGGGCACCTAGGGCCAGGGGCACTTCTGGCAACACCCGTCCACCCCGTCCCGCCTTCAGGGGCGCCGCGTCCCGCTGGGCGCGTGGGGTGGGAAGACTCCGGAGACGGGCCGCCACGCCCCAGCACTGCACGCGGGGGGGAAGAGGGTCCCGAGGAGTTCCGACGTCTTCGGCCCCGTGTGGGGGACTCGGAGAGGGGGAAGGCTTCTCAGAAGGAGGCTGCTCGGAGGTGGATAGACCTCCTACCCTGACACGTCGATTAGTGAATTGGCCGTTTTCGGTTCGCGCGAGTGCGTTGCGGCCGTCATTTTTGCGGGTCCAGGCCCGTCGGTTTCGGTCCTAGGCCGTTTTCACTAAAGGGTGGTTTGCTGAAGGTTGGTTTGTCCACCGCCGAGCTTCCCTGGAAGGCACGGGCCTCGTCTGGAGATGTGGGGCCGGCGACTTCCAGGACCTTCCGTCCTCCCCCTCCCCCTGTGCGCGCCACGGGGAAAAATGATTTTGGATCGGGCGGGGCCCGTTCCAGAGCGCTCCGGAACGCTCTCGGAGCGTTACGGAACGCCTTGCGAGGGCCACCCTCCAGAGCCGCCGCGATGCTACAGATTCTCGATTAACTCCAAATCCCTGATTAATCGTCCCCCGGCTCCGGTTTTTTAAGGCGCCTTTTTGGTAACTGGGGGTGTCCGGTTTATCAGGGCGCTCTCTTTGGATGGAGCTTGGGGGGTCCGGTTGATACAGGCGCCCCAGTCGAAGAGGGGGGTCTGGAATATCAGGTCGCATTTGGAGCGGGATCCGGTTTTTAGTGGGGTCGATTAATAAGGGATTTGGAGCATCCTCGCCCGATTTTATCTTCGCCATGGCGTCGCCTCGCAGAGCGAGAAGGCAGCCCCGGGCAGCGTCGGGGGGGTCCAGGGCGCGCTGCTCCATCGCTTTCGTGTACCTCCGGCGCCGTCAACGTACCTGGCTCAAGACATTGTGGCAACTCTTCAGGAATAGGGAACATTTGGTTTGCTCCTACTGCTGCCAAGCCCCTGTTACTCCGCCGTTGCCGCAATGAACGTCGTGGTGCTTGCGGGAGCGTTCGCCATCCTGCTCGTCGGCCGCGGCTGCGTTGCCGCCGATGACTTAGCCAAGACCTCGGAAGAACGCTGCCTGATGGAGGACGATTCGCACAACTGCGACGCCACGAACGAGGCCGACGGCGTGGGGCTACTCCAGTCACGGGCGTCGGGCCCCAGCGAATTGCCAATCGCGAACATGTGGAAGGACGAGACGCCGGACCACAAACAATATGAGGATGCGAGAGTGGAGGATATACCGATCGATGTCCAGAACCTCAACTCTACCATGCATCGCCAGCATAAACATCCTGGTGACGTGCATCTCCTTTCCGCGAGGTGTGAGATGGAGTGCCCTCAAGCAAACACTTACTGCTGCAACAAGGAGGATTGGACTGGTTTCGAGACTTTTCAAACTTGCTGCGCAGGTCATGCCCCTGATTATATTGCTCCAGGGTATAGGTGCGGACGTGGATTGTGGGACCAGTGCACAAGGGGGTATTGTTGTGCTAACGAGATATGTAGCCCCTGCTAGCTCAATTGTCCTCTTCTGAATCCCGGTCGGTTTATCGTCCTGCCCGCTCGTATGATAACCTGCGCGCTCATTTTGAAGTCGCGTTCGCAGGGTCTGTCCGCCCGGCGCGACCCCAGCGAAGCGAGATTGGCAACGCGAGATGGGGGAAGCGAGCCGTAAGGGCAACAAAAAAAAATGAAAAAAGTTCACGCATTTGGACGCTTGTGTTCAATCGGGGCTGTCCCTCTACAGGAGGACTATCCCAAAATAGCAAGAAAAAGAAAATAAGTCTGGGGACTATTGTCTTAGTATCCGTGGGTATTCTTTTTGTGGGATGCTTTGAGCATCTGGAGCTTTTCGCCCCAAGTCCGCCTCTACAGGGGGACATGCCCGAACTGGCGCTTGTGATCAAAGAGTGGTGCGGGCCTGCCTCTGGGCCACAGCATCAAAAGACGCCCCCCCCTGTGAGCACCGGCCAGGACTCGGATTTGGCCCAGCGGCGGTCGGTTTTGACGGGTGGGGGAGGGGGGAGTTCCCCGGTCCTGAGAAACAGCGAAGAGGAGGATCGGGGGCGGAAAAGAGGGGGGTGATGATTAGGGGGGGTGGATATCATGGCGGGGGCCATGATATCTCCCCAGATTTTGTGGCGCCTCTTCTTGTTTCATGGCGCCCCTGGCCCCCCCGCTGGGCCGCGCACGTGCCGCCGGGCATGAGTTGCGCCCCCCCCCCCTCCTCCTCTTGGGCACCCCCCTCTTGGCCGCTCCCGAGGGGAGGGGGATTTCGGTGAGCTCGTTCACGCCCTCCTGCTCGGTTGGGCGCGCGGGTCGCGCCAACGGCGAAGACGGGCGAGGGCGGCGCGCGGCGGCGGCCCCGCAGCCGAGGGCAGAGGCCAGGCCCCGAGCGCCTGCCGTGGGAGACGCTCCCGAGGGCTCTGGCGGCCCGGGGGCATCGAGGCGCGAGGGGTGGCCACGCGCGGGGGTCCATTGAGGCGCGCCCGGGTGCGACGCCTGGCATGAAGTCGGGCGTGTCCCTTAACGGGCGGAAGCTTCAGCAGCAATCCAAAAGACAGTCTGGGGGCGATTGTTCTATCGTGTTCTGATTCTTGGGGGGTACTTTTTTGGGGGGGGGACTCCTCCTTATCCTTCCCGCAGGGTTCGCCTGTAGAGGGGCATGCCCGACGTGACAGTAAGGATTAAGTCGGGTCTGTCCCTCTACAGGGGAAAGGTTCAAAAACTAGTCAAAAAGTAGTCTGGGGACCATGTTTGAGCATTTGTTGCATATGTTTGATGCTTATTTGTTGTTGTTGTTGTTGTTGGTATTTTTGACTTTTCGTCCCACCTTCCCCTGTAGGGGGCAATGCGCGACCTGACAGTAGGCACGCCCTGGCACGACGCCGAGCACGCCCCTCGTTCCACGCGGGGCCCGCCCGCGTGGCTCGCGAGGCTCTCCGCCGCGGCCCGGGGTGCGCCACCGGAGAGGTCACGGGCGGACCGCGCTCCCGGTTGGG